GGTCACATTATGGGGCTGCCAGTTAGTAGACTATCCCACTGGATAGTGGATGTGAGAGCGCCGGCTTACGCCTCCTTGGGCTTACAATGTCCCACCAGGGGAATGGCCTCCTCCTGGGCATGGTCCAGTGGAGTATCCATTGGTGACATCTGTGGGGCAGCTGGCTACCTTTGCCAGGTTCTACAACTTCGGCATTTACATTATCTCAGGGAACCAAGGTTATGTTAGCATTATGTTAGTAGTCCACATACCTTTGTGAACAGACATTCTCTCTCATGAACTTGAACAAAAACCACTTGAGGTCCAGAATAACTGATGCCCATCTACGTGACGTTTTGTGGGTTGCGACCACGGCTGTCAAGCTAGACGTGCTAGATGTGCTGCAAGGCAGATCACAGTACCATCCATCTCACTGCGTTGTTGAGCTTGCAGGTGACTGTTATAATGTTACAACCTGTTTACTGTTTATACTTTATTATCTTGTACTTACATCACACTTCTTCAGAATAAATCCTTTTTCATCCATATATTCATTTGTGTTACATAATTGTTTTGATAATAAAAAAAACAGATTTGTTTATGAATAATGCCTGTTTCTGTAAATATAAAATGCTGCTTTTGTTAATTAGATATATTTTTAAATCAAGTTTTTTTTTTTTTTTTAAATATACACTGATAAGGCAGCTGTATATCCCTTACACAAAGCAAATTAATTTTTGTATATATTGACAATCAATATATTCAATTATTTACGTATCATTGAAAATATACTGAATAAAATATTGTGTTGATGTATTCCAATATACTGACAAATACATAAAGAATTCCCCCTTTTCATATATTGAAAAAGATGTGATAATATACTTGCTTATATGTCATAATATATGTAATTTTATAATCAATAAAATCCTTCATAATATAAAGATGTACTTGTAGTAAAATATAGTACTGTGTGTGTAAATATATTTAAACATACATGTACCATATATATTCACATTTATATGGGATCATGCATGTACAATATATATATACTCAATCATGAGGAAAATATATATTGAGATATATATCCATGTTTTTGTGTAATGCGTAGTTGATATAAAAAATTGGATGACTAGTAATTTCCTACTGCTAAATTTAGAAAAAAACAGAGGTGTTAATTATTGGACCAAAAATCTCTACATGTTATAACCTAGAACACTGTCTAACACTTTATGGCTGTTCTGTCGATTCTTCAGTTAGGAACCTAAATATGCTATTTGATAGCAATCTTTCCTTTGAAAACCATGTTTTGTAAAACAGCATTTTTTCCATCTTAAAAAAAATCTTTGGGTGCTGAAACAGAATTGAGCTGTTCTTTCAGATTATTGATGAGTTCATCTTTGGTGTGTTGAATGCTGACTTCAAGGCAGAGAATTCCTCCTGCATTTCTATCCTAACTTCTGTTAGTTGTCTTCATAAAGTTGATTTAACTTTTCTCAGCTCTTCTTTAGTTTGCTGAAGTTCCTTTGACAGATGGGACAGTAATAATTCTCATTGATCCACTACCTCCATCTCCATCTTTCATTCTGGACATTTTATTAAATAACATTTTATTATTAAATAAAATCTGTTCATCATATAAAGTGATCAAGTCTCTCCAGAAATATGGACTAAACCGCTCAATACATATGGATTAGTTTTACAATCTTTTTATGAACTTTTTGAAGTATCAAAGTGGTAGTTGCTTAGATTGTCAATGAAGGGACAGAAATCTCTCATATTTCATTAAAAATATTTTCATTTGTGATTTGAAGATAAACAAAAGTCTTCCAGGTATGGAATGACATGAGGATGAGTAAATTATGATGAAAATCTTCATTTTTGTGTGAACTATCCCTTTGAGGCATCTGAGAATAAGCATATGAGTGCAGTTCAGTTAAATCTAGAGACCAATGGATATATAAACTGAATAAACTAAATTATGGTAATTTATGAACCGTATAAAACATTAAGCAAGATAACACAGGAATCTATTCATCCGGGATTTAGAATGACCCACACTTAAATATTTCAATTGTGAGAAGCCCTATAATTTTGTATCAGAGTAAAATGGTTGAACAGCTTCACATTAAATATATAAATCAATCAATCTTTTAAATTCACGTGTAGAACCATGGTACACTTACAAGATCTCCTGAGTTTCACATAATTACTTTGCAATGAAATCTGTAATCTCCAAAATGCTTATTGCTCATTAATTTTTTACTTCAATTGTTATATCCTAATGATATTGAATGTAAATTTGTGATGATTGCAGCATGCGTCTTTATGGATTGATTGATTGATTGATTGATTTATATGTGTTTGTTGTTGAACTGGTACTGTTATTAACAGTATTTAGAAATGAATTTCAAACAAAATTGAGTTTTGGAGCTTTTGGAGTTCAATGCACTTTTATTTTTCAGTGATGAGTGCAGAAAATAATGCTCTGCTGCCCTCTTGCGTTTGGATCCAAACTTTCAGCCTTTATGTTAAGCAAAAAGCTGACGTGAAAAATTATATTTAGTTGCTGTTTGTATGAACTCAAGGAAAATGTAGCTTTAAAATGGCGAGGTCACGGACACACTGCTGCTGTGTTAATTGGTCCGTACCTGAGCATTCCACTGCTGTTATTAGTTCATACTGTAAAACAGCAGTGTTGATGTAATCTTTAGTCAGTGTGCGACTAGGATGAGCAAGGTGCAGTATCTTTCTTCCTGTGAAGGTAAATCTCTAGAGAAATACATGCAATAATCATGAACTTTCATTGTAATTAATATTACAAAAACATATTTCTGAAAAATCTCAAATACTGATCTTCTCTGTGCCTTGTTGTGCACGACTCTTCCTATCTACATGCTGCTGTTTGAGTGACAACGGGCAAGGAAGATCACTGAACACCTATAAATGACCAAAGTTCAATAATTTGACTCCATAATCTGAATATCACATATAAACACTGGAGTTGAGAGTATTTGATTGACATTATGTGTGTTTTCGATGTTGATTTTGCGTGCTGCTTGGATGAACAAGGTATTTTTCCGTCCATTTAGGAAAATAAAAATAGGCATGTACATCATAAAGGATTTAGTTTTATTGAAATAAGTAAAACATGTATTTGTGAAATATCATTCTAATACTGGTTTTCTCTGTTGTGCATGGCTGTCTACATCTATTGTACATTGTACGGTTCGAGCCGCCTCAGTGGTAAATGTGACAACAGTAAAATAACACGGTAAGTTCAGTAACCCAAATTTTCCCTATACCGTAAAATCAGAATGCCTTTCCTTTGAATGCATCAGAAAATCACTGTATCTGTATGGTCTTAGATGTTTCTTTCCATGCTTGGCTCTGTTCATCTACATGCGCTCCATAATGGCAAAAAGGGTCGTTTGACAACATTAACACGGTAACCCACATTTTTTTTTAAACTGTGCAGGCTGAAGGATCTGGAGTTGAACAATGGAAGAAAAGATGTTAGACGTGCTGCTGTCCTTGCTAGTCCTTGGTGTCATTAACATCCATCTGGACCAGGGATGGGCAACTAGCGGCCCACGGGCTGGATACTGCCCGCAGTATCTCTAAATTTGGCCTGCTGGACTGTATTATATTTTAAAATGAATGGAATGATTGCTTTTAGATTAGGATGCCAATACTAACTCCAACCAGGAGAAATAGCTCGTTTTCAGCTGATTCCTGTATTAATTACAGCATAGTAGGTGTTGCGTGCTAAGGTGAACGTTCACCAAAATTAGCAGAAAGAAGTGAAAAATGGACTATTAAAATCATGTTTTCCAGTCAAGACCCATTTGTTTGGTTTGTTTAGAAATAAAATCTGTAATGAAAATATTTTAATTTAAATTGCCATTACACCACTGCTCACAAAGAGAAGTATGAAAGATACACCACTTATCTCAGATATAAAACGTAAGTTACATAATCAACAAAACCTAAACGTTTTTGCCAAGTGCATGACAGAAATATATGCACTAAATTGTTAAGTTCTTATACTTAGTATTTTCATTCATGGTAATATGTGGATTATGGTAATACCATTTGGAATAACTACAGTATATTTTGAATAAGCATTTTTTTAACTGTTCCCCCGAGATGTGTTAAGAATGTTTTGTAGGCGAGTAATCAAAAACAGGACATCTGCACATTTGTTTGTTGCAAATTTACAGACAATGCAATTGAAATATTTACATTTGCTTGTTGGGGTATTATTGCTTGTCAACTGACAACAAATTTTCCCATTTGATTTAGCAGAATTGTTATAGTTAATACAATCTGTAAAGACAATTATCAAATTAGTAATGTAAAAACATGAATTATAGGCTAGGTACATTGATTTCCCTCAGTAAAAAGAAAAGGTGTGAGTGTGGATTAGTAATCTTACCCCTTGTTGTACAAAAGAAAAAATGCTGGCCCTCCTCAAAATCAAAGTTGCCCATCCCTGTACTATTCCATCATGAACAGACTCTTATTATGAAAAGCTGAAATGATAGGGGGGAAAAAACTCCAAAACAATAATTGTTCTTTCATAGACTATTACAAAATTGAAACACCAAAGTTATTAATTATTGGTATATTTAATTATAGATTTGTATATTTATTTATTTTTTCATATTTTACATTTTATTTGTTTACACTTGTTTTTTTGTTTGTGTAATTATTATTAGTTTTCAGTACTATAGCTCTCCACAGTTGTCTGCACTTGAGAGGGTTTAATACATTATAGAGAATCCAAGTTTGCATACTTAGACTGCGTACTACGTACGTACTACGTTGATGCCGGTAACGCACGTACTTTGAAGTGTGTAGTAGGCGAAAGTTTAGTAGGATGGGCTTTTATCGTGACCATGATTGAGGAGGCTCTGATTGGTCTTTTATGCCGTCTAGTACACGGGCTGTAACACTGCCCTACTTCCCACCGGACTGCCGGATTCCTGCACACCGCTCTTACGGCGCACTGGCTGGGCATGGCGTTGCGGACTGTCCGAAACTTACCCTGTTTTTTAAGTGTACTCGGCGTGTTGCTTCTAAGCAGTGGCCCATCCCGAGTCTCCTCTTGTCCGAGCCGCTGTTTATGTTTCCGTACCACTGTCAGATGTATGCATTTAAACCTGGAATCAGTGCCCGCTGTTCTTCCTCAGACAACAATCCTGTGAGTACACTAGCCTTTTTTTCTCTGAGAGACACAGAAACTGTTGTTAATGTCTTTTGTGTGCTTACCTGCTTTGTTTGTTTGTTTTCCATGTAATGTTACAAATATTAGAAACTACTCGGAGTACGTTGTCAGTGTAATTATTATTGTTGATGTTTTGAGTCAGAGTTGCGCTCACCGGTTGCATACTAAGTACAGATGAGTTTAAGTGGCAGCGTTTCGCTCCGTGTTCTGATTTAACGTTACGTTCCTCATCTGGACTAGTCTTTGTTTCGTGGACACTGCGGTTTTGTCTCACAACTTTAACCCTAAACCTACCCACCCAGGCAGCATTTTGGGCGTAATAGTAGCGATTCGAGTCAGCTAGATACTGGTGCACACTCAGACTCAAATGCTGCAAATACCTTTGATGGCCAGAAATGCTGCATGTACTTATATGATGCCCTTAATTACTGGAGCATATGACATGGGGCCTGTTCCAATATGAGACAATATGCCACTTGAGAGCACGTGTTTCTGCCACGGAATAATAATAATAATAATAATAATAATAATAATAATAACAACAAAGTAATATAGTAAAAATGACTTTTTATCGCAATTGTGAGTTTATATCTCACCGTTCTTGATTTTTATTTTCAAAATTGTGAGTTTATGTCTCACAAATCTGAGTTTACGTCTTGCATTTCTGAATTTATATATTTAGAATTGTTTCCATAGTGCAGATATGAATGTGTTTTTTTGTAAAATGCTTATAGCTTAATAGAAATGACTACACTGTGTTGTCTTAATAGACATTTAGAAGTTAAAGTACTTTTTTTAAGTAGGTACTAAAAATCAAAATTTGTAAATAAAGCTCTGTAAAAAAAAAAAAAAAAAAAAAAATTTTTTATATTTTGAACATTTTTATGAGCAAGTCCAGATAAGAATTTGTAGATGCGACACATTTTTTGGGAAGGGGAATATCTGTGTAATCGATTTAAGCACAAATGTGCAATATCAGATAAACACAACAGAAATTTGTTTCTGGTAGCGGAACCAAATTATTTAACAAACACCTGAGAAGTTGGGGCTGTTTTACACCTTGAGAATGACAGGCATTCCAATTCTGCATGACTCTGCAGAGCTCCATGTGGGCCTACCAAGGTGTGACGACTGTACCAAATCACATAATGACATCACAGAATAGTTGCTAAGCACGAATGTTTTTACTCTCCTCTGGAGAAATTCTGGAAGTGCTAACGGTTCCCTCTTACTGTGTGTGTGTGTGTATACGCCCACATGCTATGCTGCAACAGCAGATGTCCAACAAATCACTTCTGATTGCACAGAAGTCCAGCGAGCGAGCGAAAGGGAGAGAGTGAGAGAGAACATGGTCTGGTCTGGGGGTGGTTTGATGTTGGATCGATACTGTAAGTAAATAAAAGGCTGCTAAGCTTGCGAGTGTTTAAGTTTAAAAGTGGAAACGCGGCACTGTCAGAACAGTGGAAGACCCAAACGTGCCAACTATACAGCATCCAGTGAACTGAACTCAGAAATCCCTCCATCGAATCAAAGACAAGCACTAACCAAAGCTATTCAAGCACAACATTCGGCTTCTGACACACATGACTTCATCATGCTATTGATCGCCATCTCTATTTAAAATGTCTGATTCCTAATGTTTACATTGCTTCGATGCAAAGCGTCGAGTCTGTAAAAGAGGTTGTGATGTTGTGGTTATTATCTATCTTCTTGGCAAGTCTTTGCAGAAGCCCCTCACTAGGCAGGGGAGTATGGGTAATTCTCTCTGAATAGGGTCGAGCGCTCAAGTTCACAAGGGTAAAATAAGACAATTGGATACAGTTTGAATAGTGGAAGAATTTAATGAACATCCCCAATGGGACTCTATACTCTTTCTCTCTCTCTGCCGCTCAGCACTGGTACCAAGGCCTGCTACAGCAGGGAAGAGAGAAATGATTTCAAAAGCCAGGAGAAATCCGAGGGGATCCACCAGTAGCCTGCCTGACAAAGCCTCCGGCGAGAGAGAGAGAGAGAGAGAGAGAGAGA